AGTTAAATTGGTTCATGTTCATCACCAATGGCGTAATCATAGAAATTCTTTTACGAAAATTAGTAGTATTAAGACCTCATTTTGTCTGAGGCTCATAGAGAATTGATATTACCGAGTTAACAACTCACGACAGAGAAAAAATTGAAATTTAATTGAAAAATGAGCAAATTTCATGTAAGTTGAGGGATGAAAATGCGAATACTCGTTTATTCACTCTTGCTTTAGTAGAACATGCGCGTATGAAGCACCACTTGAATTTTCCAGCAGAGGTCTTGAAACATTCACGACTGGAGCACATTTGACCGAACATGATCCCAGAACTTGGGCAAAAGTCTGAGTGCAGAAGTAAGGGGAAGCTTTTGGGCTCGGAGTTCTTAAAAATACTAAGCTTCAGCTGTTTAAGAGCATCGCTACAAAACATGTGCCAGGAAATATTTAGGCTAAAAGTGCTGCTGATCTGTTTGTGTTGGACGTGCGGTAGGCTTTTGTGAATTATGATGACTTTACATTAGGCGCTTCACTCTGAATGAATCTTTACAGCGGGTTGCTCTTAATTAAGAAATTATAAATCATGAGATGAAAAGAGATTTTAGGGACAAAAAGCCAACTATTATGAGGAAATTTCTACGCAATCCATTTCAAGACATTTCAGAATCCGAAGAAAACTGCACTTTAAGAAAATTTCAAAGTTTGTAATGATTTGAATCGCGCATAAAAGTTTCATTCTAGGGTATGAGTGCCATTAATAATCATTTGAAGGCACTCTTCCAAGAAGAAAAAGTGCACTTATTATAAGATGCTTAATCTAGGAGTGCATTTTGATTTGTGGTTGTACAATGAGCATTGCCGCCGTTAAATAAGGGCAAAAGGGAATAAAACATTATAAAACTTTTTCAGTTTATACGAATAGAATCATTTTAGGTCAATTACATGAACGCATTCCAACAGCAATAAAGATTTGAATAGTCAGTATGTACACATATTCAGCACAATAATATTTGAATAGAAAAACAATTCCGTATTATCTTACACTCGTGTCAACCTCAGCTACGCTTGGCACAAAATCTAATGACAGCTTCTTGGGAGTACAATGATAGCCGTTCGGAAGATGCAATGGTTCCATCAATATTTAAGTCTAAAAATACTGACAATATATGAAAAATTTTGCAGTTACGATTCATTTTTCTTCATGACAGAGAAGAGTATAGTGTATAGTACTGAAGGAAAAATACAAGAGTATGCACCACCAATACTGAATACTTTCCTTTTTTATGATAGTTGATGGATTTCCGTTGAAAATTTATAGTTTTGACGATGAGCAGCACACTAGACTGATTTGTGTCAATGATTTCTTATTAAACCTGGACATATTAGGATAGAACTAAAGTAGGATAATTTTTGAGCTTGGCTATACGTATGCAAAACACGAGATTCATACAAGTAGAGTCACGATCTCAGCGTGGATTTCAAGAAACTGCGATCTACTGCGATCGAGTTTCGCTATATTACTTTGATACGGTCAATACAAAACTTTTAGAACGAGGAATAAATTTTAGAATTTATTCTAAAATTTTTTTAGATCGAGGAATTTTTTTTAGAAAAATAAAATTTAGAACGAGGGAATTCTTTCAATCGGAAGATAATTTTCTTTCGTCAATGAATTGATGAAAATATCTCTCAATTTCAATGTCATCAGTAAAATGATGTTTTAAATAAATAATCGAACATCACCTGGAACTAGTGCGTGTGCGATTCCTGAAAAAGTTATGTTCTAAATTGCAATAATGTCTACTCAATATTTAACATCGCGTTTCAGAGCGCGATGTTAAGTATTGAGTAAAGGTATAAATATGGGTTAACATTGCGAAATTTTCTATTGCGTTCTAAAAATTTCTCGCGGGTAATGAAGGCGTGAAAAATAATTCTGAAAAACAATGAACGAGTATTTTATATATTGCTAAAGTGAAAAATAACAATAAACTTAACATCGTAATAATTAATAATACTAAAGAATTTGTTTAAATATCAGAAGTGCACTTCAGCCATTTCCATTACATAATTATAACATCATTTTTTATAGTAAACTATCGCAATAACTTTATAGTGCAGCAGTATTTTGAGCCCCCTCAAAATTTGGTCTTTAATAGCACTCTTAAAAAGACACCCATGATCATCGGCGTCGAGTTTCCTTCCGAACTAACGCTTCAAACTTCTGTCCAAACTTCGAGCAAAGTCGTAAAAAGTTTTCGATGTAAACGCAAATTGTACCTTAAGCAGTAATTTCTGGGGATCCTAACGTGTTTTATCATTATTTATGATGGAATTTTTGTACATTAAATCCTCTATATATACTGCAGATATTCTTTTAAACACTAAAATTTAAAGGTAATTATGACCCTAGAATGGTAACTTTTCTCTAGCCGATAATAAAGGTAATAAGAAGCTAACATTATGAACATATTTGATTTTACTCATTTGATTTAAACAACGCTGCCAAACGATATATAATAATATGCTTGACAATATAAAATCTATTTAAAAATGCTTTAAAAAGTGGACATTTAATTCATCCGAGCAACGCATTCAACGAGAGGTCATTTTTCGTTCAAAAACTAGAGACAAATTCTCAAGTTATGTAAGGACGACGCTGAAATCATTCTTACAAAAAAATCGTCTTATTCTATGCTCTCAGTGCACGCATGGAAGTGAATGAGCATGAATATTCGCACATCAATTGACAAAGAAGATGTATTATAATTTTTATTTCTAGATTTTTACCGAAGATAGCAGTTTCAACATGAATATAGCAACAGTTATGATTTTGAACGCAATTTCATTTTTTGCAAGTCACATTATAGAATTTTTGGCTCATTCCGCCGCCAGAATACCGTCGTCGAGGGAAGACAAATCTGAATTGAAGTAAATCTGCCAAATTCATACATTTGAGCACAAACACCGGAAGTGTCTTTCGCCGAGCACAAAAGTGAGCTAAGAACACGATTTGCCTTCAGCTCAATTCAGATCAAGGACACAAAAATTTCTCTATTTTATCAACACACATAGGGGAGAAAGGTGTGCTTTACATGCGTAAAGTTTATTTCTTAACTTTTTACGAGAACTAATATGCAAAAAAAAACTTTTTAGGATGATGTGACACAGTTGCAAGAAGCAATTTCTACTTGAATGAAAACATCCGATTTGAATCGCTCGAAACGGGGCTCTCCTGATCCCGTTTTCCATAAAATTGTAAATAACTTGTCTCATTTGAGGGGATTTGTAGAGGCTATTCTATAGTAACAACCGCAATTATATTCATAAGTTACTATATACAGGAGTTAGACAAAATAAGGGAAACACCTGAGAAGTCCACAAAATATATTTTAATATGAGTAGGTCCACCTTTTGCGGCAATTACAGCCTCAATATTCTCCGAGGTATTGATTAATACAAATAGTGAATTGCTTCCAAAGGAATTTTCCCATTCTTCAGTTGATACTTCCTCCACCTCTTTTAGAGACCATGGCGACGGGAATCGACTTCTGACTTGCATCTCTAAATGCAAACATGTATGCTCGTTAATATTCAGGTCTGGTGATTGTGGTCGCCAAATGAGATGCTCAACTTCATTAGAATGTTCCTCGCGTCATATTTTAACAATTCCAGCTGGATGGATCGAAGCATTATCATCTTGAAAGATGTCGTTACCCTCCGGAAACAAATAATGCTTGAACCATTGGATGAACTTGGTCCTCCAAAATTCCTAAATAGTCACGACTGTTGATTCTCCCATGAAGAGAAATCATTGGTCCGCCGGATTTCCAGGAAACAGCACCCAAGATCACCACAGATCCCCCGCCAAGTTTTACGGTTGTGATGAGGCAAACGGGATTAAATGACTCTTTTGGCTGTCTCCGGCCGTAAACTCGGCCAGAGGTTGGAAATGAAGTAAACGATGATTAATAAGAAAAAATTATATTTTCCACTGCTCGACGGACCAATTCTGAAGGTTTTTACACCGCTTCAAACACTTTGAAGCAATTGTATTTGAAACCAGAGGTTTTTTAATTGCAACACTTCCATAGAATCCAGATTTGTGAAGCTCCTGGCGGACAGTCTTTATGGAAACTGGGTTCTGTAGGTGTCGATTGAGGTCTGTCGTAAATTAACAGCCGTGGTCTTTCGATTGTCCCTCACAATTCGATTTAGGTACAATTGGTCTCTCTCAGACAACTTCGACTTTCGGCCAGACCTGTACTTTGTTGAGGACGGTTTTCCTTCCCTTTCAAGAGAAGTCATTCCTTTTGAGACAGTACCCCTATAGAAACGTCAAGCATTCCGGAAGTTTCTGTCACACTAGCACCTGCCATAAACGGGCACCAACTAAACCATAAACGGGCACCGTCACAGAGGTTTGCCATTTATGGGTTATAGGATATGTTATAGACACAAAAATTTCCTAAGAATATTTGCGCAAGGATAAACTATCAATTAGAAGCAATAATAAAACATAAAAATACGTTACGTTTTCATGGTTTATAACATGTTCAAAAATTACGATATCAAAAGGTCAGGTGCTTCCATTATTTTGTCCAATCCTTGCATAAGCCCACACAATCACACATTTACGTACAATATATACAGGGAGCGAGTTCGTTAGGCACCGAACCCCAATTTTGAGAAATGGATTTCAAGTAAATTTTGAACACAGAAAAATTTACTCAAATACTTAGATAAATAAGTACTCCAAAGAGATTCTCTGTTTATGAGTTATTGATCAATATCATGACACTTTGGCACGCGAGAGTTTTCAGTTTTGTTACAGGAAAATCAGTTTAAGAAAAATTTCCGTTTGCAAAATCTCCCTTAATTTTTTTTTGCACATAAATAGTACTTAAAATCCTGCTGCATCCGTTTACAAAAGTTTCAGAACACAAATTATTCAAATAAAATTTAGAGCAAAGATAAAATATTTTATTTTTAAAATAAACTTTGATCAATATGTTGCTGTTCCAATGCACATTTTGTATACTTACTATATAGGACATTACAAAGAATATAAATAGATCATCTAATTCCTATTTATTCATAACGGGAAAGTTATTTAATGAATTAGGTTCTAGAACATCATAGACAGGTAACATCTAATCAGTTAGCGCTTCTGTAGCGAAGCAAGCGGAGCGATGCAGATGAGCATCATTTTCCTGGAAATAAAAATGGAACGAAGTTATGTATATTGAAAATTTTACGAAAAAATTATCATAACATTGCCTGCATGATGTATTAATTTTAATGAAAATAACGGCTTACTTTTTGTAATTAAAAATTAATGATACAAAATGGGATTTATTATAAAAAATGGGAGCTTTACCAGGACTGCTGCCTCATGACGTCTTTTATACTCGTATGATTTAGACTTACTCAGCGAGGACATATTAAGTATATAAATATTAAAAATATTATAACATGAATTGAATTATCTTGAACCCCAAGGTCTCAAATAGCGTATCTAAAATAAAAAAGAAGAAGAAATATTGGCTGTGTATAACTTATTATCTAATTACTACCATTAAGTATAATCAAGTTACAATATCCTGCGTGCCATGGCGCGAGATATGTTGACTTTCAATTATTCAAAGGGCAAGGGTTCTCAATAAAACTTATTACAAAATGTTTACCATGAAGTTTGATAACCTCGCACCATCCTTGTCGAACGAGACGTGCTAAATCTTGGCTTTGGTGATCATTCTTTAGTTCTTAATAAATATAATTATCTAATTACTACCATCAAGCATGGTCACCTCACAATATCCTGCATGTCGTCACGTTCATCGTGAGTCGCGTCGTAGTCTCCAGGCCGCGAAGACGAGGCCGGCGAGACAAAAGACGAGCGCTGGACGCGGTGATGCCGCTAGGAGGCTCAGGTTAGAAAGTTCCCCCACGGCCACTTCTGAGGGAGGCAGGTCAGGTACATAGAAAATATAATATAACTCAGTACTCACTGCAGCGAGTGACAGCGTCGACGAAAAAGTGGTCACGGACGGACGGACGGACAGACGGACGGACGGACAGACAGACGGACGGACATGACGAGTACAATAGGATATTTTTTCCATAAATGAGAAAATGCGCTAATAATTAAAATAACTTTATAAATAGTGGAGAATAATATTTTTTTTACTGACAAAAAAAAATTGAGGCAATCGCAGAGACGATGTTATGAATGTTTGTAGCGTGTGTTGGAAAAAAGATGTCCAATGAAACTTGATTGAAAATATTGGTCAAATGAAATCTTTATACGATAAAATTTTGTTTTTATGACTTGCAGTGAACTGATTCTAGCAAAGGTTTTGTAAGTACGTGTCTAAGAGTTTCAAATAATAATGATTTTGAAATGAAAAATAAAGAATATAAAGAATATTTCTTGTGGGCCTTGCTTTACGATAGCCAGATAAAAAACTCGACCCATGGCCGCGTTTTTTTACATTATTTTAGTTTTGAAGATAAAAAATCTTACTAATTCATAGTAGTAGATAAGAAATCAACTGACAGCGGTAAATAGCCGAAGATTAACAAATACATTTTCAAATTATTTATAAAAAGACCATAGGTCTTCTTATTGGAGAACCGTATTTGCCACATGAATAAACTATTATATGTTGCTGAAACCGAAGAGTATATTTACGAGTATGAAATTAATATACCCAGATAACTATAGGAAAATGTTTGCTCACGACACTAGCGAACGATTAATTTCTGTTTGAAATCGTTTGGTACGAAATATTTTAGGAAATGTAGACATCTTCCCTAATCTTCTCTAATTTAATTAAATATATCCCTGATTATGTAAGTTATACTGTTTTTTGAATTCATCACATTCAGAATAATGGGAAAATAGTTAGAATTTATCCACCAAATAGAATGCGAGGAGTAACGTTCTACTCTCATTTCTGTTGAATTAAACGACAAATATTCTTTTCGAATGGTCATCTAGATTTTCAGTTAAGGTACTAGTATACTATTTACCAACAAATACAGTAATTTTGGAAAAAATTATTCGTATTTGGTAGATACTGCACGTAATGCATCTAAGCCAACATTCCCTTGATTTTGTATTTAATGTTTGTACCACTTCATCGCCAGGCCAACATAAATTTCGCAATGTTCCAACAAATAGATATTCAGGTTCTATTGCATGAGAGACTTAAGAGAAATTCGTCGGTGAGATCTGCGGTGGCAACGCTTGTGGCTGGAGGCAGGTCTTAGGAGGGAATGAGCCTCTTACGACACATTTGGGCTCTTGGGCTGATCTTCAGAAACTGTCTCAAAGCGATCAGAGTTTACAGTATTCACTGGCTCGAGCCTGTGAACGTCTTGGACATACCCTAAATTCTTAGAAGATGCAGCTTCGGATGAGGAGAATTTCGGAAGCTGGCAGCTCAGAAATGGAGGCTCGTGGCCAGGAAAATTTTGTATAAGATTCTCTGCCTGAGAGGGAAGCATTGTTTTCAAAGGCTTAACGACCTGGGCTTACAAATCCAGCGACTTGATGAAAGAAAAGTCCACTAAACGAAGGAAAGCTTTCAGTCGGAGCTCTTCTGAACAAGCAAGTTGCCAGATTTGATCAGCTTAACTGAATATTAGTGTTATACACATACTACAGAATGTGAGCTTTCAACTTGTATCAATTGTTGAGTAACCGGACAGGTTCATCCCAAAAATAAACGACAGTTACGGGTATTTCCATACTGACAGTTATTTATGCGAGCTAACATATAAAAATATGTATGGCATATCCTGTAGGTTATGTAAACTGAATGAGTTTAAGGAACTTCAAAAATCTAAAATACTGTCTTTTAATCTAACATACAAATTCTGATTTTCGTGAGAAAATATAAAAAATGAAATGCTGTAAGGAGCTTCAACTTAAAATTTAGAGCCATTGCGGCGAAGCTTAATTGGTCCGTTTAAAAGTCGGTCGATGAATAAGAGATACTTAAAATTATCTCTGAATTTTTATTATCTAAATAAGTACAATTATCATAAGCCATAAAAAGTGTAAATAATCCACAATCTTTGAAGAGCATAAGAGATATCATGGACGGCATTGTACTGAATCGTTGCACTCTACGCAAGCAAAAAATTCAACACGAGTCATCAAAAAAGCGGCTGCAAGAAGCACCATTAGAGAAACCACAAGATTTCCAACAACAAAAACATAGCGAGTAATTAACGACAGTTTGTGTCGAGGACAACGAGACGATCCTCGGCAGGAGGAGCGGATTGTTCTTCTAAAGAAGTCCAATTAAGTGGTAGCGTCCGCAGTAGATATAGCGGCTAGTGTCCTGCAGCGCGCCTATAATACTAGTGTCCTGCCTAAATGGACACTAGCCTATAGCGGCTAGTGTCCTGCAGCGCGCCTATAATACTAGTGTGCTGTCTAAATGGACACTAGCCTATAGCGGCTAGTGTCCTGCAGCGCGTCTATAATACTAGTGTGCTGCCTATATGGGACACTAGCCTATAGCGGCTAGTGTCCTGCAGCGCGCCTATAATACTAGTGTGCTGCCTATATGGGACACTAGCCTATAGCGGCTAGTGTCCTGCAGCGCGCCTATAATACTAGTGTCCTGTCAATATGGACACTAGCCTATAGCGGCAAGTGTCGTGCAGTGCACCTATAATACTAGTGTCCTGCCTATATGGACACTAGCCTATAGCGGCTAGTGTCCTGCAGCCCACCTAATACTCCTACTGCAAATACAATTGCCTACTCTGGCTGTAGGAAATCTTCTTAAAGACAGCTAATATTACTCGCAATCTTCTGATGGACGAGTGCGAACCAATAAATTATCTTCTACTTGGTATCAAGGAATTATCTCACAATGCGATAGGTTTGGTTTGTGTGGCATAGGATTAATCAAGATTAATCAAGAGATGATTGCGTGAGCCTGCTTAGAGTAGACTTATATACTCCGTCATAAAGTGGTCCTTGGTGGGCTAAAAACACTGTTACTGTACTGTAAAAAAAACTCAGTTACACTGTAATTTCTATAACACTTGCACTAGCAAGAAGAAGAATTTCATTGAAGAACAACGTTAGAATTATTTTTAAAAATTCGTTGCGAATTCGAACAAAATTTCAAGATATTTTTAGAGATGCGCCCTTCAGGTTGGTAATGACAATTTTGAAAGGATATGATTCTGTGTATAAAGAAATTATATCTCTCTCATCATCTGATAACTTGAACCATTGTACCTGAGAAACGTAGTAAGAAATAAATGGATCAGATTGGCTTGGCCTTATTTCGAAGGATGGCAAGATTACCATCATTGGTCGCAAGAGATTTGGTATTTCTCTCTTTGCAACCAACAATACAAATTGTACTGAATCGTTATTAATTATTGCCAAAGCTATGGACTAATAAGAAAAGCCTGGATATTTAGTAACGCTCATTATAATTCAAGTATTATAATTCAACGAATATACGAACAAAAATATTTAAATGTTAATATCGTACTAAAAAAATGCAAAACTTGAAAATGTCACTAAAAAATTGGAAATAATCACTGTCGATCATGAGCTTGACACCATAATTAAGTTCATGCCAAAGCTGCCGAGACTCCGATCGTTTGTTCTTACCAAGCCAGTTAACAAAAGTTGCTGCTCCATCTGTTCCAATTCTCTAGCCTTCGTTCCTCATCAAAACCGCGACCGAAGAATGCCGATGTGGCGGCGTTCATAACATGTTTATTATCATCGATAATCGACAAGGCAAATATTGGACCCTTTGGTAGTGTTTCGAAAGGAAGGATCGTGGCTGAAAATGTTCTAAGTAGAGAGAGCATGAAGCTGTATTCTCGGGCAAAATTGTATTCGAGCTAATGAGGGTGGCATGGTCATAGTATTTTAGAATTTCTTAGAAATTTTTAATCATAATTTTCTACTTCTTTCAAAAATGACCGATGCAAAAGACTCATACTTGGGCCTAGCAAAAGATTGTTTAACCAGAATCATTAAACAAAATTTCTTCACTTGAAATCGAATTGAAAGAGAATATTTACTGATTACGCGCCTGAAGATAAGTAATTCATATGATGTCGAGACATCATATTCCTGAATGAACTAATAAATGTACTTTTTTCAGCCATTCATCTGACCCACCTCCCACTTGTGGTCTCGGGTGGTACAGTTCAGTAGTTGTGGTGCTCGTAGTGGTCGTCGTCTCTGTACGAAGGAAAGAAAATATGATTAGCTCAAGTTAATGAACTATAATATACTGGTACAAGTCGTGATGCCAAAATCCAACTGGATATGAAATGATATAACTTTGTTACCCTATGTTGGCCACATATTTAGTTATATGCTTCTTATGAATGAATAAATGCAAATATTCTCTCATTATTAAATTTAATGTGAGAAATGCACAATAAATTTCTGATTTCCTAAAATCAAGGCCTTTCTCGTGATCAATGTGATTCGATGGAATGACCTCCATATGAAAAAATTTGTTATATTGGAAAAGTATACAAAAAGTCCAGAATAATTTATTCCGTGTAGAGTGTGGAATGATCGCTTTAATGTGTTGTGTTCTTCAATATTAATATCCATGGAGAAGTCGTCAGTAACTTTGGAGAAAAAATTCAGCCTTCAAAGAGCCGAAAGTTAAAGTTTGACTGCACTAACAAGTTTTGATGACAAGACCTAACGTTGGCTCAAGAAGGCATCCTCTAAAACTTGACGATATTTTCATAATGTAGTAATACCCAGGAGCGTAAAATGGCATTGGCATAACATTAAAGTCGAGATAACAAGATTCAACAAATTGAGCCAGCTTGTTGTCGCAAGTTTCATTTCTTGTGAGAAAATAAGCCTAGTAAAATGTGAGGCGATAAATTTTTAGAATGATATTTAGATTTCACACAGCTATTAATTAGTTAATCGCAAACGTGTATCATTTGGTTAATTAAGTCCAAAGGAGACAAGCTCACGAGCAAATTATTTCAATAACACATAGGAAAATGTAAAATTTTGCTTATGTTTTTAATGCAGCTACGAAGAGCCATCTTGCCAGGTTTTCTTTGACAAACTACATTTATATCTTGATGGTGTGATATTCACAAGGTCATTAAAACCTTGCAGAACCTGAGTTGAAATCTTGACGAAATGCCTGCATCCTGATCATATAGCTGCCTTTAGTTAACTTTCCCATTCATTTCACATTGAAAGACGGAATTTTCAATGGACTTCTTCTAGAAGGAACTCACCAGGTAACGTGTAGAAGGTGAAGATGTCAGAAAGTTCAGACCAGCCGTACTTATTTTCAACAGAGACAGTCACTTGGTAGTGTGTGGCCATCGCGAGCCCATAAAGTGTGTGCTGTAAAGTTTGGGTTTTCTCTGAAGTGAGAGAGTCGGACATCAGAGTTTCGCCTAGGGAGGTTGGGCTGTTGATGCTGCTGCTGCTGCTGCTGCTGCGAATGCTTCGACTGTCAGCAGATTTGGACGCTGCTGTTCCTAGGCTGTTTGCTAATGGGTGTTCGTCTGGTTTGTTATTCTGGTTAATTTTCGAGTTTGCATTCTCTTGGGATTTGTTTGGATCTAACATAATTTTCGTAGGAACAACGATTCTATAGCGTTCTCGAATTTCGTACATTTCATCCGTTTTTGATTCTGGTGCTTCGGTTATATTTTGGGATGACTCATCTGTTGTGTTTGCACTTTGAACTTCTCTTCTTTTATGTCGTCTTTCATCGAAACTAGATTCTATAAAGAAGTCTGTAACGCTTTGATGCGGGTTTTGCCCTCGAATAATTTGCTGAGAAAAATCATCATTCGGAGGAAATGCTTCATAAACAACAGGTTTTTGGTATGAACCGTGAACCTGGGAATAATCTTGTACCGGATATTCTGGGTATATTTTTCGTGGTGGTGAAATGTTTCCAATTTTGCCAGTAGATTTTTCCCCTATTCGGACAAAGGGATTTTTGTGATATGATGTATATAGTTCAGGGTAGGTTGGCTCGGTGAGGTAGCCGTATGGATAACCTTGCACTCCACTCATTGATCTCTGAGAGTTTGGCGAGTAGAGAGCGTCGTTCCAGGATGAGTCCGTGTTAGCGCTCGGATTGCTTTCGTCCTGCGGGATGTGAGAACTGATTGGTGAAATCTGTTTCGTCATATAAGAAAACAGAGAGAAAAGATTTATGTTTATGCGAATGTTCACATGTAATTTATTGAATATTGCAATCTGTTCGCCGGTCATTCTATTTACAAGGTCAACATTAAAGATGCGATTCTTGCACATGGAATCGATTTCTTCAGTGCCAAATTAATTCTCAGTTCCGTGTATGTTCTTATTTTTAAGTCCGAACGCTAAAAACATCTTAAAGTGGACAAATCAAGTCACTGTCGCTATGTCACTAATGATACTAAAGAACACGCAACACACCAACACCTATTTTCACAAATAAATATCAACTCTGATAGCTGCAAGTCATCGGTACTTTAGCGATTAATCTATCGTACGTCCAAGTTTGCAGTGAAGTTTTGGGATGTGGGCGACCTTACCTGGCGCTTCCTGTATCGGATCCGATACTGCAATATCTTGCTGAAGCTTTCAGTGCGCCACAACAGCTCGTACTCGTTCCTGCGGTCACCGAACTCGCTGCTCGTAATCTCAGGCTTCGTTGGTATGCCTGTGATACCGAGACGAACATATGAAAACTTTCTGAGAGCATCTTTGAGTGGTTTGAGGAAGCCATGTTCTTGAAAACGGCTACGATAAAATGAAAATAAAATTTTATATGCGTTGTGAAGTCGTATTTATACCGGTAAACATAGGCAACGACGATTTCAGGACGATCGTCTGCGTATCACTTGAATTAAAAATTCCTACACTAATTCAATTCACTGTAAAGTTATGTCTAATTAATGTACTTTTCCAAATGCAAGTAACTCTACTCCCACAAAATTTGGACGGCCATTCTACGTAAATAATTTCCTTAATATTATGCCCAAATAACTGTTTAACATAACCAAATATGTAAAATTGTTTATTTAAAACTTTAGAGAAACTTTCTCAAATATATAAATATATTTCATAAAAAATGATATATATTACTTCATACTTAATTTCAATATTTATAAGGAATAGTTATGTCGTACCCGTGAGCACGATGGTCTTCTCCTCCCGTCCGTGTTCGTTGCGGGCGCTGCACGTGTAGTTGCCGAGGTATATATAACTTCATACAAAAATGTATATGGAATAATTATGGAATAATATTTATATGGAATAATTTCCTCTCACCCGTGAGCACGATAGTCTTCTCCTCCCGTCCGTGCTCGTTGCGGGCGCTGCACGTGTAGTTGCCGAGGTATATATAACTTCATACAAAAATGTATATGGAATAATTATGGAATAATATTTATATGGAATAATTTCCTCTCACCCGTGAGCACGATAGTCTTCTCCTCCCGTCCGTGTTCGTTGCGGGCGCTGCACGTGTAGTTGCCGAGGTATATATAACTTCATACAAAAATGTATATGGAATAATTATGGAATAATATTTATATGGAATAATTTCCTCTCACCCGTGAGCACGATAGTCTTCTCCTCCCGTCCGTGCTCGTTGCGGGCGCTGCACGTGTAGTTGCCGAGGTATATATAACTTCATACAAAAATGTATATGGAATAATTATGGAATAATATTTATATGGAATAATTTCCTCTTACCCGTGAGCACGATGGTCTTCTCCTCCCGTCCGTGTTCGTTGCGGGCGCTGCATGTGTAGTTGCCGAGGTCGGCCTCAGTGACGCTGTTGATGGTGAGCGCGTGCGTCTGCGCGCTGTCATCGTCCATGACGTGATTGTTCGAGTCGACGAGGTTGTCGCCGCGTAGCCAGGATACCGCGGGACGAGGGCGACCGAACACCACGCACACGAGACGTGCAAGCTGTCCTTCGCCGGTGTGCACCGTCGGCTGGTGAGGAAATCGCATAGGAAATCAATTCTCGGTAATTTTTTTGACGGTAGTTGCTCGTGGCAATTATAAAGTATTGTCCATTGTAGCGAATTCCGATGTGCAATTGAGCGATTTTTATTTACGGGTGAACACTATATGGTAAAAGGGCATTTAATAAAAAATCCAATTATCGTGTGTTCTGGACTTATTTCTTTTTGGCTCAGTAACCCTAAATAAATAATTGTACACAATAATTGCTACGGAATTGAATAAGAAAATTAATTTTTGGTAACTTGTAGATATGTTTAACGTACAAAGCTTAAAACTTTATACAAAGCAAAAAATAAATCCGGCCCCTTAAATAGTTCATATATTGTAGAACAAAAAAAGATGATTGTATTAATTCAGTAATAAATTATTGAATGAATAGTAACAATAATTGAAATTAATCAGAATGTATATCTCACCGAGTGTTTATATTTATTTAATATAATTATGTCAACGAAGAATAAATTTGAATTCCAGAGCAATTTTGGATCCACTCGCTACAACGCAGGAGGAAAATTAATTTCCTAAAATAAGTTCAAATTTTATCAGGCAATGTTCTCAAAATGCTTCGAAAAATTTCAAGTGGCGGAAAAAACTAAAACAATTAATAAGATGAGAAATGTAGATCTAATTACGTTGAAATTCTAATGAAACGATTATGGGTTAGTTAGAGAGCTTTGTAATGATACTTGTTGGAGGTAATTACGAGCCTCGTAATGAGCACTCGAAGCATAATGAGAAAATGAGCCAAATTAGAAAAGATCGCTCGGTAGCGGTAAAACATGGCTCAGTTAACGCAAATAAAACTTACACTGGAGAATAACTTAATAATTTTATTCACAAGAAATCGCTGTATAACATGAATTTGTCAACTACCATGAATTTAAATTCCTATATATTATATTTTCGATATGGATATTGTGCATATTATATAATATAATTTATAGCAGATATTGCATTCGTAGATATTATTATTACGAGTACAGTATATAATAATTTGTTATATTTTTATTATGAAAGCAACTCTCACAGTCCGTATTATCAGGTTTCGTATTTTCCTTACTTTTCTAATTAGTCGATGTCAATAAATATGTCAGGTGTCTATTTCTGAATACACTACGCGTTTTAGTCCCGTTCAGCTTCACAACCAAAATTTTAGTCGCAACAGTGTAACAAAAAGAAAACACTTTTCAAAATTTGTGCGTATAATTGACGGATTCTGTGACAAGATTGTAAACGTTTTATGAAGTAAATAAATAATAGTTTTTTCTCAAAAGAGTTACCGTGAAATTCAACGTCCCGTGACGCGAAAAGTGACTATTTCAATTGGATATATCCAGTCTTGAAACTCGAATAAAGGATCTCAGCCCCAACACTCAGTCTGCAGTTCCCCTTCGGTGTGTCGATCTTTGATGCGATTCGATTTGCCTCTAAATTGAAAGCCAGACCTCATATCGCAACCGAGACGAACTTGTCCGCACAGAACGACATAGGCGAGGAAATTAATCGAGCGTTTATTCCGGGTATCTGGTCTTCTTCTTTCTCGGTCATAATATAGAAGAAGTATTGGTTGAAGTTCCCTAATATCTACGATAGGAGTGGCAATCAAGGCCGCTGCAGGTGAAGGAGTTAGAACGCTTAATTGGATTCAGTGTCCAGGCTTATCGAAATCGGCGTATAACCTCAGCTACAGTCGCTTAAATTCTCGCTCGATACTACGGATTCTCGTACGTAGCCTTCCCGATGAAATTGCGGCGTATAATTATAAAGGATTCAGCAATTGGACGAAACAAGGATAGGGCTAATCGACTTTTGCTTCACGTTAGTCTACATCCGACAAACCGTGAAACATATGTAAGGTTTGAGTGAGTACATGCAAATCCATTACTCAAATGAGCAATATTATTCAGGAATAAAATGCAATGATTTTATGCGTGCACTCTAATTTTATTTTTCAATGGCTTGAAAAATTAAGCTTAAGACAATCATTGCAAGAAAATATATTTCTACAAATTTATATTGCAATTTTAACATGTATAAACAAGATTTTCATTATAAATTCTGTGTCAATTCACCTTAGTAAAAGTTTGACGGCATAGGAAGAATGTTATTTGAATAATGGGTCCTGAAGACGTTATCGTCTTCACATGCGACCTTTTCACCACAAACAGATTTAATAATTACAATGTTGGAGATCATGCATGTATTTTTAATCTCATTCAAAGACAACGTGGAAATCAACGCTGATTTTTTCTTGCCGTAATCTTAAGAAACGTAAGAAGACTTTCTCCTTATCGCACAATTTAGCTTCTCTAAAAGACTCTCAGCAAAACCATTCTTTCTCTCGCCCTCACCGTGGACCTAGTGAATAGCATGCCTGAATAATTCCGTCTGTTGATTAACATATCTAGACAGATGACTTTGAGCTTTGTTAAAAAGAAAGAAATTTAGTCCAATGTCCATCGTCCAAACGGACATTTTATAAATTTCCGTCTACAATCGTCTCGGGGATATTTTTAGCATAGGGAGAATAAAATGTAGAGAAATAGGAAAGCTATTGTGTTGAAAGCGCTAACAATTCAGACATTATCTTGCGCAACTCAAGGCAAGAACAAACATTCAGAAAAGTGTGGCAACATCTAAAAATTATTACAAGATAGGACAGGAAAGTGGTTGCTTTCAAATCTAAAAGCTGTACTTTTCGTTCCTAGCCAAGTCGCTTGGGATAACAACTGCGGGATTTCAGTCTTTCTTGTCGTTAGAATTAATGCCTCAGCGAATCTGAATGAGAACTGAGGATAAAACTCAAGGTTCGGAGTTGCTGTGCGGTTGCCATTTGCGGTGCCATGAAAACATTTCGAGATGAGAACTCCAAGTGAGTACAATGCACGGTAGCACAAACTGGTCAACATGTGAAATGCACGGTAGCACAAACTGGTCAACATGTGAAATGCACGGTAGCACAAACTGGTCAACATGTGAAATGCACGGTAGCACAAACTGGTCAACACGTGAAATGCACAGTGAGTACAAACTGCTGATCACGTGCAATGCACGGTAGCACAAACTGATCATCGCGTGCAATGCACGGTAGCACAAACTGGTCATCGCGTGCAATGCACGGTAGCACAAACTGATCATCGCGTGCAATGCACGGTAGCACAAACTGATCATCGCGTTCAATGCACGGTAGCACCTGCTGTTTGTCACGTGTGATAGTCATTATATCAACCATTCACTGATACGATGACTAATTAATGACATTTCTGTTATGAATAAGCTGCAGACTCTATCCCGTGGAATAAATTATATCGTGAATGCGTTCATCGTGATCTTGAATGACTACCAATCATGATTCCAACCCTCGTCGTTACTCCTTTGTAGAACATAAGTAACTTGTGAATCAAGCAGGGGAATTTTCATACGTGTTAATTGGAAAATGACTGTTGACAATCGCTCAGCAATTTCCATGGCGATAGAACGAGAAATTTTGCTCCTCGTTCAAAACGAAACAGCTTGCGTATAAATGGACCGTTGTACTGCGCTGCTGTTCTCCGCGATAACTAATTAAAGTGACACAACAATTATTTAATTAAAGTGACACAACAAGGGAAACCTGGATATTGTTTGCGCTGTCTTGATACTCAATTCAGGCGTTGATTTATTAGAGGGTACGGAGCTCGCTTCTATTGACAAGCTCTGTGTTCGGAAGCTAGACTTGGTGTGTGCTCAGGGTGTGTCAAATGACCCATAATGGACGAGTTACCCCGTAAACACATCCATGAATGACGATTGTACAACATCGAGGGACTTTATAAGCTTACCGCAAATAGTGCAAACTTGATGCGAGGGAATGATGATATTTATATTACCCAGCACATTACCATTTATTACTATTAATAGTAATAATAGTATGCGTAATTTCCTGTATGGTTTAGTTAAATAGCCTTGACTTTGAAATTCCTATTAGCTGAATAATAATATTATTCTCCTCCAGGAAATGTAAGAAAATAATAATATAACAGCATGCAATAATTAAAATGATTCCTGAGTCAAATAACCTAGCAGAAAGTTAATATTAAAAAAGAAAATTATAATGACAAATCATGATGAATGATTAACTAGATTACATATAAAACTTAATGTGATTACGTAATACTGGAGGATATTCGTTGCGAAGGATCTTTATGTTCCTTTCCAATATTAAGAAGATAAAAGCATTCTTGTGGTACGGAAAAATTCTTAATATTATTAGTAGGTTAAATTGTGATGAACTACAAAATTGGAACTGTATAATTGTTTATATTTGTTGGTTATTTCTAGTGGATTTTACACAATTTTAGAGCACTTGAACTTATAATTTTTTCATCTAATGACACTGTTTTAATAAAATCTCAACAAATTAACAATAATTTGTTAAAATTAACTGGAAAATAAATTGCATGCTTCAACATGTGTATTTATTTATCTATATTGGAGCATGTGTTCCAGTAGGACACAGAAGACGCGTTTGAAACGTCTTTGCCTTGCTGCAACTCTTCCCAGTAAAATCATATGGCACAGAATTGTACGGAATGCGGTAAACAGAATAAATATTTCTTCTGATGAAAGTTGAATCAATTGCTTCCAAAGATTCCTTTGAAGTCTGGGAACTATAGAGAATGTGCAGCGAGGTAAATATTCGATGTAGCGAATTTCGTTTACACGTAAATTGTATAAATTAAAAATTGAAATACTCCATGTCAACAGAACTCGAAGTACAGCCAGCCGAACGTGGTCTGACTTTCGCCCGATGGTACGTACATTGTGTAAACCCATCAAGGGCGATAACGAGGTGTTAATGATAATGATAATGATCCACCCCTTTGGGGTGAATGAAATGATGTTTATTTATTCTCTCTGTATTGTTGATTATATTAATTGTTGCTAGTAATGAATGATTGATACGTTGAGAGGATGAAGGATAATGAATGGTAGATACGGTGAGAGGATAGGGAATAATGAATGATAGATACGGTGAGAGAATAGATGATGATGAATGATAGATACGGTGAGAGGATATAGGATAATGAATGATTGATCCTGTGAGAGAATAGAGAATTAATTATTGATACGGTGAGAAGATAAAGGATAATGAATAATAGATACGGTAAGAGGATAGAGCGAGAGGTCTTTCCCAAGATCTTTTTCCTCTTCTTATGTTCAGCGGTATGACTATATTTTGTCTAAATTATCATTTAATTTTGTGGGGGTTAATTTTCGCCTCTGGCGTACTATTTTACTGCTGAATAATATTTTAACTTCTGACTGTGACTATTGATAGTAGTTTAAGAAGTATTAAAAACTCTACGCCATCACAGGTTAAAATCTTTGGCTTCTGCGTAAAGGCAAACCACGTCATCACGAGTGAAAAATGTCATGATCTGTAATTATTCTATTTATTGTATTTTTGTTTAATTTTTTTTCTGATAAATTTAAGCACGAAATGAATCTCTTTCCTGAATAAGAAGCAAGTATTAACATATTGAATAAGCCTAGAAAATTAAGCATGCAATAGAAAGTGGGTTTTGATGTACGTAAAAACATTTCTTCGATTATTGCAGGTACCATCAGTAATTCGCGACGTTAATAACTGCTTAAGAATTTTAAATGTTAACTGCCGTCATGAAAATTCCAACATTGGCAGTTAATACATTTTGGACTTCTTCATACAACGATTTTAGGCTACGGTCGACCATGTTTTGTAATGAGGACCTAAAATTTTGGAAAACAAATCGATAATTTTTTGGCATGCATTCGAATTGGTTAGTATTTGGTCATTTTATATTCTCTGCATTCCGTTTTGCCCGAATAAATATTATATGGCAAAATAATTTCTTTTAAGTTTCAAAATAGTAACGTCGCGTTGTCTTAAAACATGTACGGTGTTTTCGGCCTTCCATTCAAAGAAACTTGATTAAAAATTATCAGACTTGAAATCAAATTTGGAATTTTGAGGTGAACTCTAATTCAGAAAACACGGGTAAATAAAATCGTAGAAGCTTCATTCCATGCTTTGCAATTTAGAATCCCATCTTTTGCCTCGCTTGTTATCGAAATACCAGGCACCACGAGAAAATCCCTGCAAAAAGCTGGGGATAAATCTCTTGGATGGTAAAATACTCACCACAGGAGTGGTAATTTCCGGAAGATACTCGACGACGACCGTCATTTCTGCGGAATGCGGAGCCTGGATGCCGTTGTTGGCAGTGCAGTAGTAGGTGCCTTCCACGTGGCGGTCGACGTGTGCGAAGTCGAGCGAGTCACCCTGCCAATGATAGAATTATTTCATATAATATTTTTGCAATGACAATACAAAACAATAACAATTGCAATAAATACAATACAAAAACACTTACATATACTTAAAATAATAGAATTATTGGATTATATTATTGGCATAACTGAAACACAGTAACTCATAAAAATGCAAATAATCATATTAGTACAACAATAATAGAATAATAATAAAGTTATTATTGATGCTGCTGTAGAGGCGTGATTCATTGAGCTTAATTGTAACAATACAACATGACGTTAATATTTTGTCCTAACTTTTTTATTTGTCATAGAAGATCTTCTAGAACAGATGGCTTCGTAGAAGATTTGCAACATTGCCAGTTTTATGATAAATACAAAAATTAAATTATGGTAGAGGAAGCGCATAAAAATAAATCCTATTAAAACGATAGCAATTTTTTCTAACGTGCCCAGGAATATAAAATCGAAATTGCTTTAATTTATTGGTGCATCATTATTTTAACCCAACCCAATATACTGTGCTCAATTTCTCGTCCCAATAAATATTTTGCAGGAAGAATGAATTATATTAATATATTAGGAATAGTGCATTTCATTCTCTAGTGAAGTTCAAAACGGAGCAATATATGTACGTAGATAGAAAGAAATATCACAATGTGATAAGTGATCCGACTTTCAAATCAATCAATACTCGTCAGATAGAATAAATTCATGTGAAACGCCGCATAGTTCGAATAACATTTCATAACTGTTATGTTCAAAAGAAATCATCAGTTGTGCACAAAAAATATAATAGAATTTAGTGAAATGGCCATTAGATTAATTTTTTGTATCGAACTTTATATGAGTTTCCTGAAAAATCAGGATCACTGGTAATCGTAAATATTTCTTATATTAAATTCATTTTCAAAACGCGCAGACAAGGATCACAAAAATCATTTTACGGAAATTCAACCACAAACGTCACCAACATTTTCTGGGTCGACACTAACCTGGATTTGCATCAGGAACTTCAAACAGATCAAACAATTCGAAATTTTGCTGCAACTCTCATATTTTCTCACTGAAATCGGTTTCTTATTTGCCAAAATTTAATGGATATTTCGATTTTTAAGAAAAATTTCCACATGAAAACTGCAAATAATTTCGGTAGATACTGGCACATCTGGAAATCATGGATAAACAAATTTTAAATTCTTTGATTGGTAAGATGCTCGATGAAGTTTCGACGATTTCAACAAGCCCGATGAAGTTTTATTAAACTTTTAGTAGTTTTTAATGACTAGAATTTGTTGCTAACATACGCATGACATCATTTTGAGGTAAGATTATTTATTTTGATAATATAGTAATCGCATTCTTATCTTTATTCAATTAACATTCCACATCACTCTTGAAGCTAGTTTTACTTTATGAAAAAGTTAAAGGTCCTAAGTTAGCTTCAAATGCCTAAAATCATTCTGATATCCTACTCTAGAAGTGCTTCAATATTACCAGCTCCCAACACCAAATACTTCAGAAAGTTCATTCGTATTGCCTGCATGTATTGTCCTTATTCATATTGTCTGCATGTATTGTCCTCATTCTTATTGCCTGCATGTATTGTCCTCATTCTTATTGCCTGCATGTATTGTCCTTATTCTTATTTCCTGCATGCATTGTCCTTATTCTTATTTCCTGCATGTATTGTCCTTATTCTTATTGCCTGCATGTATTGTCCTTATTCATATTTCCCGCATGTATTGTCCTCATTCTTATTTCCTGCATGTATTGTCCTAACCTCAAAGGACATGGCGCCGCTAGGTAGGAGACTTCCTTTCCTGGTCCAAGTGATGACAGGCTTAGGGTTTCCCTCAGCGGAGCAGTGAAGACTCACCGAGGCGCCTTTGACCACTTTGTAGGAGTTCGAGCTCACGTGGTTGATCTGCAACCAAAACAGCAACCGTCCAAGTTTAATCTAGAAGGAAAACCAGAGGGTTATTCCAAATGCTTCACTCACCGTCATTCCACTTTGAACCAACAGTCTAATGAATTTTGAATGAACTGAGCGAGAAGAATTTCTACGGTCTCAGTTTTCCAATCGGTTGTATCCTATTGTTTGAATTTATTTCGCGAGAAATTTATAAAAAAATAATACCAATTAGACTAGAAGCTTTCTTTGAGTTTTGCAGCACGGGAATGAAATTTAAGTTAACTTCGATACGCTATTGTTAAGCAAAAAGTTCATCAGTTGGGCAAATATGTGTCTGGTACACGACTATCCTGAGCGTACTTTTTGCCCAATGAATATTCCGTTCTGATAGTTTGAAATAAAAAAGTCGCTGACAAGACTCACACAATGCATCGGACTGGATTCGATAAAATTTGAGAATTTACCGGTTTATAATGAGACTACTCGGCTCGATTAGCTCAGTTACTCAGTTGCGTTGTTGTAATATGAGATACTCATTTTGCAATGGAAGTTTTATGCCTTTTTTGTGTATAGAAAAGAGGCTTGATACGCCCATGCAACAGGTACTGGTAGATTTTTGGGACATGTAACGTATAGTCATAAATTTAGCTCTGCATTGATACAGAGATGAAATTAGTTACAACTTAGTTAATGTCCTCACGAACCAATTAGTAATGTAGAGAGCACAAAAATTTTATTTCATAAGGCGTCGAGCATGATCAAATTCAACAGAAATCAAACAATTCGTATTTTGGTCACAGGATGCAGAGGCCTCATGAGGCAGAACACGAACGATGCATTGTGTTTGTCTCAGTTGGTATTCCGAGAGCTCACGTGTTAGCAAGGCAATTTACGCAGAGGCCGTTTGAGGAACGTACAGTGAAGCTGCGCGCACACTTGCCTGCTTGTACTCATTAAACTGTGACAGAGATGGTCTGTTTGAGAGTGGGATGGAACCTAAAGTCCAATCGGTGGTTATCATTTTAAAAACTCATGGCTTTCTCAACGGCTCATATATTGAATGTAAAATCATATTGGCTTTTCCAATAACATTTAGAACCGATTTTTTAACATTAATGGTGGCTGGAACGTAGCAGGGAAATATTATGGACCTAAGTAATTTTTAACTAATACACGAAACGTGCGATCCGCACTGGCGCAAGAGCAAAGCGAGGCTTTGAAGTTTGATTGAACCTCCTAAGAATTTCTGCTCATCAAATATCCGGGCTCTTAAGAAATATGGTTGAATAAAGAGGGCGCGAGCTGGTGGAACATTCGTCTAATTTCTGGGATTGTAGCGCGGCCGGTATCGACTTGAGCATCATTAGCGTCTGGGGCAGCAAGGCCTGCATTAATGAATGGTCGCTTCATTATACGCAGCACGAGCTCTGCCACACGGTGGTGCATGACTACACGGTGTGAATGCAAGGACCGTATTTGCACGTAGCATTCACATGGAGGTGCCGGGTTACACGGTGTGAATGCAAGGGCCGTATTTGCACGTAGCATTCACATGGAGGTGCCGGGTTACACGGTTTGAATGAGGGGGCTGTATTTGCACGTAGCATTCACATGCAGGTGCCGGGTTACACGGTGTGAATGCGGGGGCCGTATTTACGCGTGCTGATATATGCACGCGCATGTATAAATTTGTTGTCGGCTATGCTTAGAAAATATGATACTAAATTTATTCAGGACTTGAAAACAATAAGTGCCTAAGCTCGCAAAAAAGGCAAGAGAGGGAAGCTACGGAAAGATTTAAAGGCTAAAGTGACTGGGACATCGAGTAGCAGATAGGATTTGAATGGCAAGGTAGGTTAGTCCTACAAAAATTGTGCTAAAAGAAAGTTAGTATCTTGGTAAATTAACGTTAAGAACGATGGGAAAGTGGGCTGATTCCAAAATATTGTCTATGTTTCAATTGACAAATATTTTGTTCGGTGTAAATTTGTAGTGAATTAGTCATTACTGATGAATTCCAAACGAAAAACATTCTAAAAATCATAACAACAGTCTTCTTTAGTTTTTTATGGATGCTGGTGAATTTAGAATCATTTCCACAGTGGAGCTTGAAAAAATTCATGGAAAATTCATTAAGTTAAGTTAAGTTAGTACGTAGTGCAAATTCATGTATTCATTATCGTTATCTTACAGATTGATAACTATAAACTTCGTTCAGTAGGATCTGGAAACAAATAATTCAAATCCCTTGGAATTTCCCATTTGTCGATAAAAATTCAGTAACTTCGTGGTATTTTCGCTTCCGTACATTGAATGCAAAAGCAACCTATTTCCTTAGTCACTGAAAAGTTACCTGAGAATCAACAAGCAATATATTCATGAGGATTTACTGCTTTCACCAGGAAAGTCTTCAAAATTTATATATTTATATTGGTAAAATTTTTCATAACCTGCATTTATCCGCAAGATAAAGAACTGGAAGCAAAGAGTGCCAAGCAGAAATGTTACTGATTTTTTCCTAATTTAGTGTCACTAAAGCCACGCTAATGGCAAATAAATTTCATGTATTGTGCCAGAAGTAAATTTAAGACACAATCACAAAATTGAATTCCACAACACAATCCACGAAGGTAGATAGCCACAAATCAACCGCCAAAAATCATCGTTGGCACACATCATGCCGTTCATCATCGGTCTTGACGCCTTACCATAAGAATCCTTTATTACCTTCGCATTAAAAGTCTTCAGCTGCATCCCCACAACTGCGGTAAAAATAATCATTATTGCTCTCTGGGCGCCGAAATGCGCTCTTAATGTATGACCGTAAATACATGCACTGCAAGACCAGTTATGTTGGTTTTCTCAACCAAGTTATTGCAGGACAAAAGCACTTACTTTTTAGGGATGATCTTTCGTTGCCTTGTTCCTTTACAAGATGCAAGGTAAAAAAAGCGTAGCTTGTTACCCGCTTTTAATGTCCGCAGTAAAGTCGCCCTTCTTTCCTTCCGGGAAAACATCCTTTTGCATTTTGGGCTGTAAGAATGCGACACAAACAGGCCTGTCGTGGAGTGTTTTGCGAGGCTTAGCATTTCAAATGTAACCGCCGCAGGGAAATTAGCTTACATTTATAACAGCCTCAAAGAGACGCGGATACGCTGTGTCAAACTTGATGAGCTGTCCGGTGCTCAAAATATGGTCATGTTTCATTAATATGCGATGGTAATATTTACTTAATTCTCTCTTTTATACAGGTAAAGTTGAAACCTAAAAATCTTATAAAGATGTGATTCTATTTAATAAAAGTGCGTGTAAAGACTGAAATTTGTGAATCGAATTTTTTCGAGCAATAAGTGTATCTCTGCTGAATGTATGGCAAAATATAGCACGGTACGAATATAATTCCGCTATAAAGCATCTTTATATTCTGCAAAATACTTTGTTTAGCCTACGCTGCTAGATTATCAGCATGTAAAAAAGATACGCAGGCGCAACTGTAACATTGTTGTTTAGGTGTGGTGGGGCAAGTATTAATGACTTGGCATTTAATTTTATGACCAATCATATCACAGTTATTCGGGACAGGAATTCATAATTCTAAGAGAATTTATGGTGACAGGAATAGTGGTGCTGCTGAACGAAACAGCACAGAGCTCCTGGTATTCGACTGTATGCTTCAATTGAGGTAGCAAGTGCATGAGACAGTCGGCAGGGTTTCTAGGACTTCCTTCTTTTGTCTCTCCCTCGCAGGAGGCTGACATACCGAACAAGAGGTCTGGGGAAAAAGTCTTATAAGCTATAAGACTTTTACTTGTACAAATATAAATTTGAAGACCAGCTTGTCCAATTCACTATAGAGCTGCTCAATTTCCAACATGTTCTGAACTTGAATATTGCACTACGGTAACGAATCTCGGAAAGCTACAGAAAGACAACCAATATTTCAAACAAATTCAGTATATATAGCATTGGATCAAGTTCAGAATTCCTGCATGGGATCAATCAATAATAAAATTTCGTGCTTCAACATTGGAGACGTGGCATGAATTCTTGCAAAGCTGTTCAAACGTCGGGAAAATTGAGGCAGTGAGGCAGAGTTGCAGTGTTTGCAGCCCGCATGCGAGCTCCGGGGCAGCGATAGCTTCCCTGGGCACAGCAGCAGCGCTCAATTCAAGCGACACGTCAGGTGTTAGTCTTTCCGTATTTATTTATTATTTTACTAGATAGTTTTATTTATAATTACTGAGTATGCATTGACGGAAAAGTTTTTAATATTTTCAAATAGTCAAATAAATATATATTTCTCGGGAAAATATTCTGTAGAAATCCAGAGTAACTGAGGACGCTTAATTGATACTCGAGCCTTATTGAAACGGCCGCTAATATAAGGAAGTTCTATGGATATATTTAAAATTCTCCTTAATTGGAGAGAGAATGCATCATCTTGAAACACTTAATTGCCGTAGGTACACCAGCCACCTGAGATCGTACATAGAACCTCCCGAGATTTTTTTTCAAATTATGCTGTCTAATAACGCAAAAGAATGACTTTTTATTCAGAATCTCTGCAATGATTTCCTAATTGCCGCCTTTTTATTCCATATTCCAGTGTAAATTTAACCCTCCCTGTCAAGCTCTCACTTTTCCTCTTGAACAAATACTGTATTGTGTTGAGACTTCGTGACGACATCTGAAAATGAATTAATTAAGTACTCTGGGAAATCAGTCCAAGTCAAGTAAAAAAATCATCGGAACTCTAGTGTAAGTTTTATATCGAGCAGTCACATGAATTCTATTATTGAGTACACAGTTGAGAAAATTGTTGATTGACAATCAAGAAGCAAAACAATACGACATGACGTAACTTAGTTAGTACTTCAACTTTCCGTAAAACCTCAAAGAATTGTAAATGTTTGCGTGGGTTCTCTTTAAAACCAATAAAACAAATTGCAGTTTTTATTTTCTGCCGGTTGTTGAATAGTAGAAGTTGCATACTGTTGAACATTATTTACGTAGAAAATATAACTTGGAGGCTCAGGACAATTATTTTAACCATTCTTTCGAAGAAAAGTTACTTCATCTGACGTATTCATTTGAAAGCGAGAATATTTAGGCTACTGCCAAAAAATGCATGACGCACGTTCAACGTGTGGCGGATGACATATAACATGCAGTCATGACTCGCCTTGGCTCGGTACGGGAGCGCAGCCGTGCACCACAAATTTTGTACACCAATAAGCCCTGCATCGAACGCCTTGGATCTCTCCGGACATCCACCAATCAGCCGTGAATGGAACCTTCTATCCGTAACCGATCCTTGACATCCTTCTGCTTTGTATATTTTGAGCTCTACACCCCCCAGACACGAGGTCGAATAGCCTACGGTCGAATGGCCGTCCACCACTGAACGTTGCGTAGAAGCATCACTTCATACCCTGGCCACCGCTCGAATTGGAACTTGCGCGCAACAGCCTGCGACCACTTAGCTTTGCCCACCTCCGGCCTCGCATAAAACCTGCCGTGCACCACCTGGCCGTCGGTCGAAAGAGCCGTGTGACAGGCTGAGTCAGGTTAGGTTAGGTTGGGTTTGCACTCGGCTGGAGCGTTCGACCCGCGGGCGTTCGACCGAGGGCTGGTTCGACGCACTGCCTAGATACGGACGGCTTGGTGGCGGATATCACATTCGCTGCAAGGCTCCGGCGCGCTACGTCCGAGTGGTGTAGAATTTTTTCGCGGTGCGGCAATATAACATGCAGTCATGACTACCTTGGCTGGGTAGAGGACGTTCAGCGTGTGGCGCAGCTCGACTGGATTATCGGCTTCGACGCGACACACGTACTGTCCGGCGTCCGTCTTGCGTACACGAGAAAGAAGGAAGTGTTGACCTTGCTTCCGCAAACGCGGAATTTTCAGGACCTTTGGGAAAACATTACAGGAATAAGTCAGTCATGTTCATTCTAACTTGTCTAATTGTTCGATTAGATCAGATGGTTAATTAAATTTCTTCTAAACTGTAAAAGTGGTGAGCCAGCTCTTACGGTGATGTGATTCGAAGATCGATACGAATATTCAAGTGATGTATTCTCTTCTTTGGAAGTTTAAAATTTTCAACGTTACGAAATTCCGCGTAGTTATATTTTAATTAATATTACAAGTTAGCTTAAAACTTATTTCACTTTAGTAAAAACATTTGTTTGAGAACCTTTAAATCTCCCACAATTGAGACACTCATTTACTGTTCTTCGTGTTCGATGATTGCAGTTTATTCGATTGATAATGAACGGAATTAACCAAGGGGGTTTTATTGTAGCCATAATATATGAGAGGAAATTTATTTTTGTATAGAGTCAAAACTTCATACATAAAAGAATTAGTGTGTTTCATTAAGGCACATCATCAAAGAAGGCCAAATTTACCTTAAGTTCGTTGCGCTTGATTATCTCCGTCGTTGGTCAATAATTATGACAAGTAAAGAAATAAGGAACATGACTTTTTCAGAAATATTCAAATAAATTCGGATGAATCCTAAGGTTTTGCAACCTAAAGTATCTAATTTCAATTATTAGCTCGTATTGCGAGTACTATGTATGATTGATTAGATGTTTATGGCAAAAGTAAAATTTTGATTTAGTTCAAACGAATCAGGCTTCACCAAAACCAATGTAATGATAGTATATTCTATTGTGACAATTATAACGGGTCTTGGGTGGTAAAATGTAATGGAAACCCCGTTCATTTTCGAAACAAGGATGTAGAATTTTTTTTGAATTACTTTGTCATAAATAATGTATTTATCATGCTGCCTGATTTTTAGGATATTATGATGAAAATTTATTTCCATCATACTTTGCCATCCTTTATCGGCTGGCAAAATAAGAGCTCTTAAAGTACGCAAAAGTCAAAATTTTAAACTTTTTCCCATTCATTTAATATTTGGAACATTTGTTGTATAGGGTATTTAATAAATTTTGACTCATAAGAAATAAATTAATCCTGTACAGTAATATTAATTATTAATGGAAAAGAAACTAAATTAATGTCATGAGTCTTCAAGTTGATATTATCGCATGCTACATTATTCTCATAGCATAACATTGACATTATCACATTATGACATATAACATCGCTCAAGTAGACACTCATTAAACTATATTGTCAACTTAGGACACAGTGGGAGAATTTTTGTGTCAACGTACGACTTTGTTCCCTGCAAAGTAGAGGCGCTCAGGCCCCTGGGACTCGGTCGGGACGTATTGAAAAGTCATGATGTTGTCACCTGGAGAAAAATCGAATATAATTGTTATTATTTTGAAATAGCATGTGTAATTATTAACGAAAGGCTAAAAAAGGGAAATATTTATTTCTTAAAACTTAAAAAAACTTTCTTAAAACTTAAAAAAACTTTCTTGAAACTAAAAAAAAAATCTTAAAACTTAAAACTTCTTAAAAATGCAGGGTTCTAATGAAAGCCAGGCTGAACATAAGATTTTAATCTGGAAAATAAAAACAAAGGTATAGCATGCCGAATTCACCGCATTTTCAATTAGAACATTTTCGAATAAAACATGCTAAATGTTCTTCGAAACTTTAATTTTTGATAACTTTGAAATTAATGCAAACTAATGTTATAGTTATTCGTAAGCGAGCAAAAATGTCAAATTGTGATCCAATATGTTATAAATGCAGTGACAGGTTTTATTATTGACGACATTAAAGCAAGAAATGGTAATAAATTATTGCAGTGAATTTCCCTCCGTATTCGATTTGATAAGAATTTCACGATTTTTTGAGGAACATTGAACACACACTCAAGGATGTGAGGTCATCAGCGTAAGACCAGCGCTTGCAGCGATATCATTACCGACAACAGCGCATTGTTCCAGCCAACAATGAAACATGGCTGATGATTGTAACTGGTGAATCTAGCTCATAACAAGCATTATGCGATATATTCTACAAGTTAACACTCTACCGCCGTATGTCACTCTTCGGGAACATAATTTTCAACTTTATGTATACGTAAACTATTGAGTGTAGCAACCTGAGGACGTTTGTACACAACAGAAAACATTTTAAAGTTGTCACACGTGGCGGCAACCATCAGTGCAAGTCATTTTGCGCTCACTAGAACGTATCCTTTTTGGGAAGTAGGCTTGTGACAATATTTCTCCGGTTACTCATGTCAGGCGGTAGAGGGTTAAAGATCCCAACGAATGTCCTCCGCGTATTACTGTATTTAAATCATCCCCAAACACTTGGTTCTCTCGATCTTTTCGCTTTTGTATTGTGAGTACAAACAGCGGGTTTTGCACTCACCGATGTCTCGTACTTCACACGGAAATGTGATCTCTTCGCCTCGCTCGACCGAGAACACCTGCGACTTGGACAAAAACTTCAAGCGGGAATCGCTCGTTTTGCCTCCGGTTTGATAATCCAAGAGTCCTTCGTTGCCGTGCGCCGCTGTCAAAACTGGAAGGGAAAACGGGAAGAAAATTCGATGAATAAATACCTGAGGAAAAGACGAATATAAGAGTATTTTTCAAGTAGATGCCAATGAGGTAGACTTTTTGTCCGTCACAAGAGTTGATATAAAGTTTATTGAAATCAAAGAACAATCGAAGGGTCTACTATTTGGCAAATTTTTCTACTATTATTGTTATTAAGCAGTGAGCGTATTTGTGCTAAAATTGAAGCACAGGTTAACGGTTAGCGTCGCTAACGAGATTAATTGGGAAAACATACTTACATTTCTAAAATAAAGTTGGAATCTTGGCGCATACAAAGAACAGGAAGGAGAGAGACATTTTTATTAAAAAATTCTTTATTCCCATTGATAAATTGATTTCAGGTTACATATAGGAGCGAAATAGTCTTTTCCATATCCTAGCAAGATTTGTTAAAATTTGTTGTCTAATTAATTTGTTAAAGTTTATACGCTTATCGTTTGTCTCGTGTTAAGAGGCAAAGTCGACGCTCGTTAGCTCGATCTTACTGACTATTGCTTTAACCTTACCGGAGTGAAGACCTCTTGCTCAAACAGTATTATTACTTTTGTTAACTCTTGCTTATCTGTTACTTAATTTGAGTTTGTGCGAGTGTGTTTTCATTTTATTTTGTTCCAATTAAATGCATGTTAGAACTTCTGTGTTTCGCTCGTTGAAGATCTTGCTTTACCGGCTTTACGCCAGTGCTTTGAACCCGTAGGGGTTATTGGCTCCTTGAAGCTTCGGTTTATACCGATTATGTCACATGCCCAATGCTGTGAATTAACTTGCATGCTTGCATGCGCTTAACTCCTTTAAGTACGAGCGAACACTCCTATTACTGTTTTCACTATTTTCTTCCTAATAGTTCTCTACATGAGAACTCTTGTCTAGGGTTCCTCAACGGAAACAAATAGGTTTGTCATTTTGATTATTTGAAACTATTATCATTATTCTGAATTTATATTATTCTTGAATCATACTGAAATCCATTGCAGTATAACTTTGATTCCATTAATTTTAGGCTTAAGTTGGTTTTCTGTCTTATTCAGATAAGAATCAACCCAACCGCCTCTACTTGGTCTTCAACTCTGCCGTTTCTTAATTTTGAACTGAACTTCTCCTTGCTTATACGTTCTGTTGCCTCCGGCAATATATGGTGAGAATTGGAGAGAGAGACATATTCACCTGAAACAGTGACTCATTCAATTGGAATTAAATATTGTGTTCTACACTTTTAACGTTCGAACTTGTGCTTATATGTGCGTACGTATTCTACAGTGCACGAGTTCCTCATCGCGCTGCGTGCTTCTCGTTTCCTTCTGGCTTCATTCTGCGAACCAATTCTCTTTGCGGAACCACAATAAAAGTTTCAACGCTTTCTTTGTTTTTTGATTTCCAATTGTACCAAAATTCAATAGATTGTAGGTGAACAATAAATATGACTTTGGGGTGATTAGGGAAGAAACTATAATCAATCGACGGCCGCCGAGTCTCAATGTTAACTGCAGTACAATAATGCTGAATATAAATGACTTCACGTAACGGTAAAATATTATTTACGTTAAAATTTAACTAATTTTTCCGAATAATACAGACATACAACTGATTTTTAAATAATTAATTTTGGTGCTGGTTTACATTGCATCTCTTAGATAGTTCTTTATCAAAGTACTATGTTGGGTAGATTGTCTGAACTGAACGTCGCTCTGAGTCGGCGGTTTGCCAATCACTCTCTATATAGACAGCTTCGTGCTACAGCTTAATTCAAGAGCATATATGGAAGAAAAGAGAAAGAGAGAGACAAATAGAGCGAAAGAGCTTGAGAGCTCAGACTTTGGGGGCTTCCGTTCAGTGCTGTAAGTTTACTTTCATTTTTTTTAACTAGAGCACGAAGCATTAAAAGTCGGATGTCCGGCATGAGAACGTCTTTCTTCACCGCCCAACGTTTCCAAAGTTGTTCCTTGCTCCACAAAGCATCGTGAAAAACTGACTTCGCTGGTTCTGCTGAGCCATAATGGGATTTGAATTATGATTTCTCGGCAACGAAGTCTGGTTTAAAAGACTAGGATGATTCATCGACCAGGTAAGTACACAATGTTATTTTATAATTGACAGAAACATGAGAGGAGGTTTTAGAAGTTATTGACGATTAAAATTACTTTAAGTGTCATTAATTGAAGACGAAGTTATTTTTCTGAGAATAAACATGAATTTAACTATTCATGGAGCTAATAAATGATGTAGAAAAAGCCAACATTTAAATAAAGGACGGCAGAGAACAATTGAGACAACCATAAAATTGAATAAAAGTGTTATGTATAAAAAATGAAGTTAAATCTCGTGGGGAATAAACATTAATTTTATTATTAACTTATTCAATAAAGAACAAAGCCATATCATACATTTTTAATAGAAGACGGCAGCAAACAAGTGAGATCTTCAACATCTCGCCACAGGGTCAGAACAAGCCTTCCCTTGTTCTGACCCTCGAGAAACTGTGGCCTTGATTCTGAAGTTGAGAGCCGGCGTCCCTTGAGTGTCCTCGGTTCTTAACACTCGACTGCTCTCGAGAGCTTGCTGTCAAAACACCGTCTCGAGTTTATTGAAGACAATATTTATGTTGTCACAAGAGTGCGCACCAAATGTCAAATAATTACAAAGTTATGGTAATTAAATATTAAGTTAAGTTATAAATCGACGATCCTTCGACTGCTCAATATTGTTGAAATTATGCCACGCAGGTGCCGAATTTCATTCTGTTATAATATTAAATAATTAAATTTGGATGAATAACTATGAATTTATATCTTTACTGGATGCAATTTTAAACGTAAATATTAAAAATACTTCAATGAATTAACTTGAAGTTGTTAGTTCCATAATACATTCCATTTATGTTGTTATTTGATTTACGTGCACGATTAAATTTGTCCAAGAATGAAATGCTGTGAATTGTGCAAAATTCACAGTATCGTTTCTTATGCTCAACTGGATCAATCTTTGTTTAAACTATTTAATAAACTATAAAATACAGTGATAATTTTGAAGAATTCGGGACTCGTATCAGAAATGAAATTGAACTGTTTTATATTCTAGACACCGTAACTTCTATTCACTATTCTTATCATAAATTAATTTTCATGTTGCGTTTCATGTAGGTTCTCTCCACATCTCTTCAGTTTTATTTGAAATTCGCAATGATAAATATTATGCATTATTTCTAGTATATCGTGCGGTTGATATTACACATTTTTTGGAGTTCATGAGATGTTAATGGTGATACCCTATAACTTCTATTTAAGTTATTTTCCATCGTTTATTCTTCACATTATTGGGTGTTATAACTGAACAAGCTATAGGATAATTTTATTCATGGGAAGGAAGGCTCTTGTTAAAGTGAAGACTATAAACTTCTGAGAAGTTTGTACTGGTTAATTAAGGATTATCTTATTTGAAAATGAAAATTTGATAATAGATAATATAATAAGATCGATAACTTTCATCAAAGTTAGTGGATAAAAACTTACAGTAACCACAGCTTTAATGTTACGTTTATGGATTTCTTTTTTTATGCCGGTCGAAATCTCCACAAATTTATTCCAACTAACAATAAAAAAATGTCACGATTCCATAAATTATCATTTACATAAAAGTGCGAAAAAATTTCTTCGCAAAACCTGCACTCCAATAAATTCAGTCTGATTGTTTAGGGGTCAATAGAAACAAACAGGAGGAAAAGTTTTCGAAGTCCAGGCCATGATTTACATTATTTCTGTATATTTTCCATGTGGCCGATGAACATGGCAGCTTATTGCTGCTGGTCCTATTGCTTTTTCATTATAGTTTCTGGGAAAGTTTTGACACTCGAGGCTCCTGAGGGCACCGATATCTCCTCGCGAATGTCAATAATCCCGAACGATATGGCGTTAATAAATCAAGCAATGCTTGCTCTATCAGAAAATAGGCCTACGGGGAATTTCCTTATAGAATTCGTCTTCCCTTCCTAATATTTTTATGCTTTGAGGTTTGTGCTTGTGATATTGTAGTAATCTTATGAATGCTGGAGAAATTTTTTGTAAGATTGAAAGATATCAGAATAAAAGATAACTTTAAAATTGTAGTCAGCATGACTACAATTTTACACACAATTTTTTACACACAATTCATAAACTTATATTCCCTGCGAAAAATTTAAATTTCTAAAATATTTATCTGCAGCATTCCAAAAAGACCACAAAAACATGGATCACAATTTCAACAACTTATGATGAAGTTTTAAGAAGAATTGCTGGGAATCTCACAGGAAAGGTTTTATTCAGACCCTCATCATCGGAAGAGGATGATTAGCTTCCAAATAAAGGGCCACCAAAAATCCACGGCTCCCAAGTCTTCCCATAATAATCCGATTATTTGGCAACTTTCCTTTCTAAAGTTTTTCCACGAGGATTTAATTAGAAAATACGAGACAGAAGAACATTTGGTTTGGGATCGTTGAACAGCCACTGCGTCCGGAGGGCGGTTCAATGGCGAGCTTTCCTCTTTTACTGGATGGCCAGAAATAGTCTAAGATGTCATTAAGTGTTGAAGAATATCAGATTTGCATGGGTATTTCTGCAAAAATAATTTTGATTCTTTGAGCATATATTTCTCAAGTCGTTAATTATCCTTTCATTTCAAACTCCTTCATTTATTTTTGAGCTATTCAATGTATTTGATGAAAAATCTTTCTCTAATGCAATCAAGGCGAACTCAATATAATTTATCTTCTTAAATGGATTTGTTCATAGTAATATTTCAGCATAATTGAGGGCATAATTATATAGATGCACATTCAATTATGATGGACAAGATTTGGCAAATAAAAAATTTTTCGCACTTCTTTTACATTTTGCCTATATGAATTCAGCGGTTCCACCACACATCAAAAGAATTTCGTTGGTGGGTGTTCAATTTGCATTGCTGGTCCAGAATCAACAGCCTCAGATCTTTTATCCATTCATGTGTTAAACGAATCTTGTAATATTTATTCGAGCTTTCGACGAACATAAAATAATTGAACTCCACTAACTAAAATGATATAGCAGCACTGCGTTATTCAATGCAAATTTCCTTCTATACACGACGCTTCTCTAGAGGTCATTAGGATAGTTTGTAGGTCCCAAGCGGGTTGCCAGCTCAGGCGTGTGCTTGATCGTAGATTTGTGAAATGATTTTTAAAAGAGATTGAATCCAGTTATAAATTTTAAACTATTTATAAACAATCACACAGAGTACTCTCGAAATAATTCCGACGATAAAATAATTTAAGGGGTTATTTGTATCGCTCAGTGGATTTTGATGATACAGTGAACAAATTCTATAAATAATTTACATAAATAAATAAATTTTTCCCTTTCACTACTGTGCTTGTTGCTTTTTGAGATTGCACGGTTGGCAATACGAAAACTATTCAGAAGCATTTGCGACATGTCAAACCAATTAGTTATTCATTTAGATTGTTGATTATTATTTGTAACTATGTTTTCATTCTTTTCTTGGGAATGTTCCAAGAATGCAGGTTGTTGGATCTGTAACTATATGTTTTTATTATTTCGTGTAGCGTGAAATGGCTAAATGTGTAGGTTGAATTATTCAACTATGAGAAAGAGAAAGCAGAAAATAAGCTCCTCAAAAATTCTGTTGAGCGGAAGCCGTACGATGAATACGAATATTTTTAAAACTCATTTCAAGTGTGTTTATAACAGTGTTTATCTTTACATTCGCCTTGTTCATTATTGTCTCAAAATCATTTAACAAACGTGAATACTCTTATGAAATTTACTCATGTATTGATGAACGTAAGTTCTATAGACTGTCCAGAGTTTTAGACTCCCGTGTATTCCCAGTTCATTTATGAATTAAAGGTAAGGATATTTTAGAGAATATTCACAATTCATTGCAAATTCGCAAGCGGCAAGTGAAACTGAACTTCAATTGTTTGGGTTGGAATTTTGTTCGGACGATATGAAGGACTGGAGCTAATTTCCGCCAAGTCCTCGCGTGCTCGATGCTCTCAGTTTTATTCTCATTTAAAAATGATGCTGGATTTGTCATTTCAAACAGCAATCGGTCAATGATCTTCTTTGATAGTTGAGGATTGTTCATGGAAAATATGGATTGTTCATTGAATTTTTTTGAGGCTTTTTAGGATATAAATAAGATTTATTGAAGCGTTTTCTCATTGATACTTATTTTAATTTAATTATCTAGTTCACGTGTTATAGCCTCTTTCAGGACTAATTTTCTGTCACTGCATCATTCAATGTTACATAGAAAAAACAACAATTTTATGAAAGCCGTGTAAAATAGCAATTTTTTCAATTTAATAATTGCCTCCGA